TGGGATGAGAGGGGTTTGGGTGGTTGGTGAGAAAGGATGGGATGAGAGGGGTGTGGAAGGAAGGTGTTTGTGTGCGTATGAGTTGGGTGGTTGCCTTGGAAAGGATGGGATGAGAGGGGTTTGGGTGGTTGGTGAGAAAGGATGGGATGAGAGGGGTGTGGAAGGAAGGGTGTTTGTGTGCGTATGAGTTGGGTGGTTGCCTTGGGAAAGGATGGATGAGAGGGGTTTGGGTGTTGGTGAGAAAGGATGGGATGAGAGGGGTTTGGGTGGTTGGTGAGAAAGGATGGGATGAGAGGGGTGGAAGGAAGGGTGTTTTGTGTGCGTATGAGTTGGGTGGTTGCCTTGGGAAAGGATGGATGAGAGGGGTTTGGGTGGTTGGTGAGAAAGGATGGGATGAGAGGGGTTTGGGTGGTTGGTGAGAAAGGATGGATGAGAGGGGTGTGGAAGGGAAGGGTGTTTTGTTGCGTATGAGTTGGGTGGTTGCCTTGGGAAAGGATGGGATGAGAGGGGTTTGGGTGGTTGGTGAGAAAGGATGGGATGAGAGGGGTGTGGAAGGGAAGGGTGTTTTGTGTGCGTATGAGTTGGGTGGTTGCCTTGGGAAAGGATGGGATGAGAGGGGTTTGGGTGGTTGGTGAGAAAGGATGGGATGAGAGGGGTTTGGGTGGTTGGTGAGAAAGGATGGGATGAGAGGGGTGTGGAAGGGAAGGGTGTTTTGTGTGCGTATGATTGGGTGGTTGCCTTGGGAAAGGATGGGATGAGAGGGGTTTGGGTGGTTGGTGAGAAGGATGGGATGAGAGGGGTGTGGAAGGGAAGGGTGTTTTGTGTGCGTATGAGTTGGGTGGTTGCCTTGGGAAGGATGGGATGAGAGGGGTTTGGGTGGTTGGTGAGAAAGGATGGGATGAGAGGGGTTTGGGTGGTTGGTGAGAAAGGATGGGATGAGAGGGGTGTGGAAGGGAAGGGTGTTTTGTGTGCGTATGAGTTGGGTGGTTGCCTTGGGAAAGGATGGGATGAGAGGGGTTTGGGTGGTTGGTGAGAAAGGATGGGATGAGAGGGGTGTGGAAGGGAAGGGTGTTTTGTGTGCGTATGAGTTGGGTGGTTGCCTTGGGAAAGGATGGGATGAGAGGGGTGTGGAAGGGAAGGGTGTTTTGTGTGCGTATGAGTTGGGTGGTTGCCTTGGGAAAGGATGGGATGAGAGGGGTTTGGGTGGTTGGTGAGAAAGGATGGGATGAGAGGGGTTGGGTGGTTGGTGAGAAAGGATGGGATGAGAGGGGTGTGGAAGGGAAGGGTGTTTTGTGTGCGTATGAGTTGGGTGGTTGCCTTGGAAAGGATGGGATGAGAGGGGTTGGGTGTTGGTGAGAAAGGATGGGATGAGAGGGTTTGGGTGGTTGTGAGAAAGATGGGATGAGAGGGGTGTGGAAGGAAGGGTGTTTTGTGTGCGTATGAGTTGGGTGGTTGCCTTGGGAAAGGATGGGATGAGAGGGGTTTGGGTGGTTGGTGAGAAAGGATGGGATGAGAGGGGTGTGGAGGAAGGGTGTTTTGTGTCGTATGGTTGGGTGGTTGCCTTGGGAAAGGATGGGAGAGAGGGGTTTGGTGGTTGGTGAGAAAGGATGGGATGAGAGGGGTTTGGGTGGTTGGTGAGAAAGGATGGGATGAGAGGGGTGTGGAAGGAAGGGTGTTTTGTGTGCGTATGAGTTGGGTGGTTGCCTTGGGAAAGGATGGGGATGAGAGGGTTTGGGTGGTTGGTGAGAAAGGATGGGATGAGAGGGGTGTGGAAGGGAAGGGTGTTTGTGTGCGTATGAGTTGGGTGGTTGCCTTGGGAAAGGATGGGATGAGAGGGTTTGGGTGGTTGGTGAGAAAATGGGATGGGATGAGAGGGTTTGGGTGGTTGGTGAGAAAGGATGGGATGAGAGGGGTGTGGAAGGGAAGGGTGTTTGTGTGCGTATAAGTTGGGTGGTTGCCTTGGGAAAGGATGGGATGAGAGGGGTTTGGGTGGTTGGTGAGAAAGGATGGATGAGAGGGGTGTGGAGGGAAGGGTGTTTGTGTGCGTATGAGTTGGGTGGTTGCCTTGGGAAAGGATGGGATGAGAGGGGTGTGGAAGGGAAGGGTGTTTTGTGTGCGTATGAGTTGGGTGGTTGCCTTGGGAAAGGATGGGATGAGAGGGGTTTGGGTGGTTGGTGAGAAAGGATGGGATGAGAGGGGTTTGGGTGGTTGGTGAGAAAGGATGGGATGAGAGGGGTGTGGAAGGGAAGGGTGTTTTGTGTGCGTATGAGTTGGGTGGTTGCCTTGGGAAAGGATGGGATGAGAGGGGTTTGGGTGGTTGGTGAGAAAGGATGGATGAGAGGGGTTTGGTGGTTGGTGAGAAAGGATGGGATGAGAGGGGTGTGGAAGGGAAGGGTGTTTTGTGTGCGTATGAGTTGGGTGGTTGCCTTGGGAAAGGATGGGATGAGAGGGTTTGGGTGGTTGGTGAGAAAGGATGGGATGAGAGGGGTGTGGAAGGGAAGGGTGTTTTGTGTGCGTATGAGTTGGGTGGTTGCCTTGGGAAAGGATGGGATGAGAGGGGTTTGGGTGGTTGGTGAGAAAGGATGGGTGA